TAGTGCAAAACTAGAACTAACACTGGACCTAGAACTAGAAACATTCGAGTTTAGCCGCACGTCTCTCAAGACGGCTAAACCCGAATGATTCTAGTTCTACGTCTTGTGTTAGATCTAGTGATAGTGCTAATGCAAAACAAGAACTAACACTGGACCTAGAACTAGAAACATTCGAGTTTAGCCGCACGTCTCTTAAGACGGCTAAACCCGAAGGATTCTAGTTCTACGTCTTGTGTTAGTTCTAGTGATAGTGCTAGTGCAAAACTAGAACTAACACTGGACCTAGAACTAGAAACATTCGAGTTTAGCCGCACGTCTCTCAAGACGGCTAAACCCGAATGATTCTAGTTCTGGGTCTTGTGTTAGTTCTAGTGATAGTGCTAGTGAAAAACTAGAACTAACACTAGACTTAAATCTAGAAACATTCGGATTTAGCCGCACGTCTCTCAAGACGGCTAAACCCGAATGATTCTAGTTCTAGGTATAGTGTTAGTTCTAGTTTTACACTAGCAGTGTTACTACCCGAATGATTCTAGTTCTAGGTATAGTGTTAGTTCTAGCTCTAGTGGAAAACTAGAACTAACACTAGACCTAGAACTAAAAACATTCTCTATAGCTCGTATTAAAGAGAATATCTTTATAGTTTTCATTTCAGATATAACTCGCTTATTAATTTCCGAAAATATAGGTTCAGCGATTTTTTGTTAAAAAATGAAAAACTTTTATTTATCTGATCCGGTCCTGTTTTAATCCCATAAAAGTATCTCCTATTTCGTCCGATTAAAATGTTGATCTATATAGACCGGTGTGTTAAGGGCAATTAAGAGTCCTGTAAGAGGTCTTGCGTTACCGATAAGGGCAGTCAATCTTACCTTAATAGAAAGCAACCGCTGTACAGCTTTTTCCAAGTCGACCAGCACACAACCAGCAATGAGAGGTTCTGTGCTCGCTGATTTTGACGCGGTCAAGCGACTAGTCGTTTTCTAGGTAGAGAGACGAAGCAATGCGGATTATACCTACCCGGTATTGTAAGGATTCTTTTAATTTGCCCTCGACCCGAACGCAGAGTGGCGTACGTCTAGTGATTTTTTCCGATCGATTTTTTTCCCGTTCGCCGCCGATTTCCCGGCGGCCGCCGCCCGAGGAGAAGAGGCTCGTTGCTCTGGCTTTGTCGGTGATGGCCGGCGGCAGCAAAAGTAGGTATGCGGCGTTTGGCCAAAAGCAACTTAATTGCCGATTAACCCGAACGGGGAGGGATTTTTATGCAAAACTATTTTAAGTGCGCGCCGTCCAAGTCTTTTAAGGAGGGACGCGCCCGAACGGAATGTCCGCGTACCCAGAAGCAAATAGATTGCTAAATAGATTGGATCCTACTTCGAGACCGACGCGAAGACGTACAGCGACGCGAGGAATGCCCGTTGGATCATCATCAACGTTTTGTTCAACTACAAAGCTCTTGATGCGTTCTAACCGTTTTCAGTTAACGACAATGAGGGTTTTATCTCTTTATATATATCTCAATACAATTTAACTTTCACTATCACTATCAAATTGAATCTCATTATTAAATTTGCAAATTAAACTTTTTACTTAGGTACGATAACTATAAAGTTTAAAAGCCATATGGTTGATATTAATAAAACATTTCTTGAATTACATAATAAGATGATCTTTAATATATAAGCATCTTTAACTTTTTACGTTGTCAGCAAATCACTGTAAACATCTCGTAAACTGTTGTTTCTGGCATGGTCTTTTAAGAGTCCTAAGTGGTCGGAAACGGAGTTTAGCAGGCATTCATATGTTTTTTAAATTGTTCGTAAGATCTACCGCTGGCCTTTTGTCGGATCGTGACGACGATAATTTTCCAATTTGCTAGCCAGGCGCGCTCCCGTCGACAATTTTCAATAAATCGCGCGTTCCGCCGATGACGACCGCTCGTTTTACAATATATATTTTATGTAACCCTCGCGCGGGATTGAGGCGCTTTTTTAGTTGCGGCGTCGCGTTCGAGTCGCATAAGGTGAAGATGGCCTTCTTCAGGCGACTACTTAGACCCCGGACCCGCGTTCGGATAACATTTGAAAACAATTGCATTATTGATCGGCCGTGCGCTCGTAACAATAAACATCAGGTTCAAATACGGCGTTCGGAACCGATGATTAAATGTAAACAAATGCTGTTTTTCGTTCGCGATTACGATCGTTTGTATGCGAACCCTGTAGCGACGGAATTCGCATCAACCGAGGTGGTCTATAATCGGCAAAAGCTTCAAATTATCCGGACATGATTAAGCAAAATATTGCGCCAACACTAATTTACAGGGTGTGTTTGTAAGTCGTAGCATAATTTTAATCACAAATACTAGATTAAAAGTGATAACGAGTCGTGTAAATATTGTTGGTCTAAACCAGCCATGTCCAACTGGCGGCCCATGGGCCGCCTGCGGCCCGATTGCGATTTTTGTGCGGCCCGATAACAAAAAAAGGAAATCGCACAAATTAATATTTAAATTTTAATAATCGATAATACAAATAATTTTTATTACTTGGTCGAATGACGTTTTATAAAACTCCTATATCTTAATATATAAAAATGGAATCTTGTATGTATGTGGGTACCTATATACCGATTTTACTCAGTTATTCCTTGGCCGAATTTCACCAAATTTGGTAAACACATAGCTTAATATATTGGGAAGAACCTTTCATCTTAATTTTTTTGACACCGCCGCCGAGGTGTCGGCAATGACGATGTTAAAAAAATAATTTGCACAATAGCGAATCCCGATGTATGGCGTTTACGAATACAGTAAATACCCCGACCTACGTAAACCCGACTTACGTAGATTCGGAGATACGTAACTGCGAATTTGTCCGTTTTGTCGGGTATTCCCCTGTTTCGCTCAAAAGTGGATTGAATCATAAAATTTTCTAGTCCCTTCAGTTTATGCGAGTTCTTCGTAGAGAGTTGATTAATCACAGAGTTGATANGTACTTTTTTGTCTCTTTAGTATTTTCCTTATAGTTAATAGTTTCCGTGTAAAAAAATAAAATATCGTGCCATGTACCGCTATATGCCGCCATGTTTAGCTAAAATTATTCTAAAAGTTAGCTCTGAGAACATGTAAGTTTTATTTACAGTGAATCCTCATAATTATTTCTGGTTATTAATAATTTTTGACGGTTATTAAGCAAGAGCATCAATTTTTTAATATTGTTTAAAACAACGTAATTTGTTCAGACAGGCATTAATCTTATTTATGGTTTTTCTTATGAAAATCACAATTAATTGGTGTTATTTAGTTAGTACTAGATCCTAGTAAGTGCACAACTTCCATAGCTACCTATAAAGAAAAAAATTTTTTTAATAATAGCAGCGCTTTACAGTCCAATGTAGCATATTTTCTTTTTTTACGCTAAAACTATTATCTTTAAGGAAAAAACTAAAGAGACAAAAACGTACCAATAATGAATAAGCTTTACAACCCATATATTACTATTTTTTATGTTAATATTCCATGGCGTTAAGAAGTTGTTATAAAAAAATCAAACACGTTGTGAATTTCATCCCCTTAGAGGGCGCTAGAGAAGTTTAAGGTATGGTTGAAAATAAGATATGAACCAGTAGTACATAAATACAAATTTTCAAATTCTGTGGTTTACTCATACCCGAAATAAAAGATAAAATGTAAATTTTTGGCTCAACTTTGACAGCTCATAGCTCGGAAACAAACGAGTTGTGACCCTATGTGTATATAAAAAACTTCTGTTTTTTGGCAAGTACTACGTCCTAGTAAAGTTTCCCGATTAAAAACTGAACCACCCTGTATATATTCGCTTATAGGCTGAAAACGAAAGTAGTTATCGAAATGTGGTAAATGTAAACTGATATTCATTTTCAAAGAGCTTTTCATTGATGTATCACACATATATCTGAGGGCTTCAGGGGGTAAACTACCCTTAGTGTTTTGGAATATTTTAGAAACTACCCTGTCGATTTTGGCGATATTATGTGTCCTTATAGTACGTTTAAAAATAGCAATGACGTGTTTTTTCTTATTTACCTCTGACCATCCCCTGCAAAGTTACGGGGTATGATAGATAACCCCTTTCCTTAAGAATAATGTGATAAACTGTTACACTGTTGAACAATATTTGGAAGAAAAGCATAAATTAGATGTAAATTAAGATTTACGCAGTAAAATAAACGCTATACGACATTAAGGGGTGGCTGGGATTAAGTACCCTAATCACCCCAAAAATTAAATTTTTTTGCGAAAATATCGATTTTGGTGGAATTTACGACGATGATTTTTTATACGTTAGGTAGTACTTTTGAAAGAACTTACAAGGGTTAGAAGTTTAGGGTAGAAAATATATTTTCGCTAATAATTTTCATAATCCTACAGAAAACGTTTTTTATCCTTACTCTATTTAAATAACACAAAAGTTAGTGTAGTTATATAAATATTTATTAATAATAAGTTAAAAAGTAACTGGCAAAGAAATGGTTGACTATTACAAATTGTATTCTACAGTATTAATTTAATTTCTTTCTTTTTAATTTTTATTCAATGTATTGTTGGCAATAATGAAAATCATGGAAAGAATGTTTTAAACACAACGATTGTTTACATCATGCACAAGTTATAACAGCTATTTCTCCACAGATATCGCACGTAGGTTTTTCATTGGAAAAGCAAACCTCCACGAGATTTTCAACTGTTCTGGTCTCTCCTCTATATATCCAGACGCAAGCCACGCGTATTTAAAAACATTAATAAATCGTGGGGAAGGCAACTGGTTATGCGTTAAGGATTGCAATTTTAAAATATTATCTCGCTGATGCAAATTGACATCGTACTGCTATCAGTACGATGTCAATTTGCTGATCAAATTATTCTATAGAGAATAATTTGATCAGAAAATCTTCTAATGAAATTATTCCATATTCTAAAACCAAATACATCCAGGGGTTGAATTTGACCTGTTCTCAGTGGCCACTCCAAGAATACAGTAATAGTAATGATTTGGGTCAGGTGTTTGGGAAATAGACATTTTGCAGCCAATTTTTCATATGATCAGAAGTCAGTTTACCAGACTTTGATGCCAAAACGAATATGTTATCTGCTTTGAACATTGTATTTATTACCCTCGGTCCAAACGTACCAGAGGATTCTAACAATGTAGAATACAATTTGTGATATTTAACCATTTTTTTTCAGTTGCTTTTTAACTCATTATTAATAAATATTTATATAATTATCCTAGCTTTTGTGTTATTTAAATAGAATAAGAATAAAAAAGCTTTTTCTGTAGGAATATGAAAGTTATTAGCGAAAATATATTTTCTACCCCAAACTTCTAACCCTTGTAAGTTCTTACAATAGTACTAACGTATACAAAAATTAGCGTGGTAAATTGCTCCAAAATCGACAAATAATTTTCGTATTTGGGGTGGTTAGGGTAGTTAACCCCCGCCACCCCTTAAGTTTATTTTACTGCATAAATCTTAATTTACATCTAATTAATGGTTTTCTTCAAAATATTGTTCAAAAGTGTAACTGATTATCACATTATTCTTAAGGAAAGGGGTTATCTATCATACCCCGTAATTTTGTAGGGGATGGTCAGAGGCAAATAAGAAAAAACACGTCATTAATATTTTTAAACGTACTATAAGGACACATAATATCGCCAAAATCGACAGGGTAGTTTTTAAAATATTCCAAAAAACTAGGGGTAGTTTACCCCCTGAAGCCCTCAGATATATGTGTGATACATCAATGGAAAGCTCTTTGAAAATGAATATCAGTTTACGTTTACCACATTTCGATAGCTATTTTCGTTTTCAGCCTATAAGCGAATATATATATTTCGCCCCGATTTCCAACTCTTATAATTCGCCCCAGGGGCTTTATTAGCACGTATAAAAAAATACTACCTTATTTTTGGCCATACTATCGCTGTACCAAATTTCAACAAAATCGGTGAGGGACAGTTCTGATACTTCCCTTGTAAGATATGGGCTTTCAAAGTTAAGAAATTTTTAAAGTTTTTCTTAAATACAGTACAAGCTCGATAATCTTGTACCTCTGAAGCAGAGGTGTACAATTAGGAGGTAAATAAACACATATATTTGTATCTCTTGAAGCTAAATTTTCATTAGGCCCATGTATAGGTGCGTTGTCTAAAATAAGAAGTGCTTTCGGCGGAAGATTCTTGCTCTTCAAAAAACGTCGTACTTCAGGGACAAAACCATTCTACGAATACTTCTTTGGTTACCCATGCTTTGTTTTGGTTTTTGTATACGAGTGGAAGATCAGCATTTTTAAATGCCCTAGGTGATCTCGCTTTCCCTATCAATAAAAGTTGGAGTTTATCCGTACCATTATACCATTAGTATTGGCAAAATTTGGTAAATCTTTTCAGAACAATCCACTTTCATCGGCATTGTAGACTTGATCGGGAGTTAAATTAAGATCATGCATCTTTTTCCTGAACTGTTGGATAAATGGAGCAACAGCCGCCTCATCACAAGATAATTTTTCTCCCCTTATGGTCAATGTACTAATTCCATATCTTATCTTAAATTTTTGAAACCAGCCGTCACTAGCTTTAAATTCCTTATTCTTATAGATTTTCTCGTAAAAAACTAAAGCTTTTTCTCGTATGTTATCTCCCGTGAGAGTCTTCTTACAGCGACGTTCTTCAAGAAACCAAGCATATAAAGCATCTTCCATAACTGGGTATTCTCCCATATTCATTGTTTGACGACCACTCATTCCCGAATCACTTTGTTTAACACAACATTCTATTTTTTCACGATTTTTGCACGACCGACATTGATTTCACCTGACTTTCACCGGAACCCAATTTTCTTAAAATTTAAATTTTTTTAACTAGAGTTAACGTTTCGTGTTTTCGTTTTCGTGTTTTACTTTCCATTTTGATATAGGTGCATAAAAATCATGTAACGCACATGCAACGTACAGCACTAAATTTTATCTTTCTAAGACAAACCATACTGAAAATATTTAAGAAAATGTTTAAAAATTTCTTAACTTTGGAGGCTCATTTTCATCTTAGCCATTTATGAGTTTAGTTTCATCATTTTCACTTACTGCATTTGTGATTAAAATTATGCCACGACTTACAGAAACACTCTGTATAACTTTTATTCTCAAATCTGAATCGTTATATTGTTTCATGATAATTATTATGTTCTTATCTGGCATATTTTCGATGTTCGTTGTTCACGTTATATTCCAGTTACCATTTCCAGTCTGCAAATATTGATTGTTTGCTTTTCCTGAATTTTTGCGAGTTAAGAAGCGAGTTATACAGTATGTCCCTCAAGTAACGGATATAGGCGATAAAATCTTTATAAACGCTTTATGGAAAAATCCCTAAAACGGGTCTAATGATTTAAATTTGTTGCTATTGTTTGGTGTAGATTTTAAATTTCCTCCGCCATTTTTAAACAAGTTATGACGTCATCGATATTTTTTTCAAACGGCAATCCCCCATTTTCATTACAGAATATGAAAGAGGATTTCTTTCTGAATCTAGTACAGTCAATATTAATATTGCTTACATAAGAAAGTTTTAGAGAAAAATTACTTTAAAGCTTCATTACTTCAAATTTATTGACATGTTGAAAATAGCAGTAGCCATGGTAACCAATTATTGTAAACAACTTACTATGAGTCAAAAACTGATTTAGTAAGTAAGTAGCTACCCTCTTTAATACAACATATCCTGATCGCCAACTCATTAGCCAAAGTATGATGACACACTCAGCGTACTGTTTAAAATAATTGGTTACCATAGTTACCCATGGCAACTGCTATTTTTATTATGTCATAAATTTGAAGTAATTAAACTATAAAGTAATTTTTCTCGAAAATTTTCTTATGTAACCAATATTAATATTAAATGTACTAGATTCAGAAAAAAATCCTCTTTCATATTCCGTTTATAATGATTTTATTGCCTATATCCGCTACTTTACGGACACACTGTATCTTAAATAAAACCTTAAAATAATCTCTTTAAAATATCGTGACAATCTATTTCGAAATGATAATGTTTATTAAAAGAGAAGTTTTAAAAACCATGTTGTGAAAACGAGGTTAGATATTTATTTAATGTAAAATTTAAAAAATCACTTCCGGTTTATTCTTAGGAATGAGAAAATGATTTATATCTTAAATTATAGCTTAAAACATCCGAAATAAAGAAAAAAAAATTTTTTGATGTTCCAACTACATACTCATAACGATATCTACTCGATTTGTTACCCGTCTAATTAAAGTTGGTGTAATGTAGAATGTTGTTTTATCTGACCCGAAATATATGGTCTGTATGATAAATTTACGATCGTTTTGCTTATTTAGATTCGCTCGATACGGGTGGTAAATCAAAAAAAAGCGATCATATTTGGCAGGATCACGTGCTATCGTGGTTTGTGCATCGACGGTCCGCTTTTAGACAATTTACCGGGAAATCCCCACGTCCATCTATAAAAGGAATTACGGGTATGGGATTCGGTATGGCGAACGCACACTTTTCTAACTTGTAAACAAGTCGCGATACGCTTTGCCCGAGTGGAAAAAGGAAATATTCCACGGCGATAATTGCGGTCGTAAAATAACTTTCTGAATTGCTGGAATTGGAGAAAATCTATTGTGTCGTCTACAATGGCCGTACTAAGTAACTGTTCCTTGGAATATGACATACCAACGACGCGCGACGCCTTGTTTGCCGTAACTTCTTTTTTCTACTTCTTAAACGGAAATATTGAATTCTTTTAACGGTACTTCTCAACAAGATTTAATGGAAACGCAAAGTAATGAACGAAAACATTTATTTATTTATACACATATCATTATATTAAGTTAATACTGATCTTGTAAAGTTTCAATTACATTTCATTTTTATTTAATAAATATTACATTTCAACGTTTCAGTCCGATTGCTTACTTATTGTAAAATAATAAATAGAATAATAATATTTAATTATAATTAATTTAAATAATTAAAAAAATGGTACAATGCGGGAATGTTTACATGCTAATCTAAACAATAAATTAGTTTAATTAACTACAAGCTCAGGTTAAAATTACATTTACATCTTCGTTTATTTTTTTTTTATTTAATTTAATATGTACATACAAAACATAATTAAAAAAGTTATTTGCAAACTGTAACTTCTTCTTCAATTATATTATCGACACAAGTCACGTTACAACACCAAACGAATTTACAAATTGCATCGTTTCGTTTTCGAACTATTTTATCGTAACCTCTTCCACAACAAAGATTCGAGCAGTTGCCTGGACCGGAAGCGGTTAAATTACATTGTCTACCGGCGGTTCCACCAAAATCGAGCATCGGGTTTGCATCGCAAAAATTTGGTGATGTCTCAAAGAACACCAAACTATTTAATAATTCACGTTTTTTTCGTCCTTTTACAATGAGATGTTTTTCTTTGAATCTTCTTCTTTTAACCTTTTTATTTTTTTTATTCTTATTATTCGTTTTTCTTCCATTTCCTGAATTATTTTGCTCAATGCGAATAGCTTGGGAATATTTCTTTTTTAATTCTAACCCAACTTTACTTATAGAAGGTGCTTTTGTCCAACAAGCTTTCATTGTGCAACTACCGGAAACACCGTGACATTTACAGACGGTTTCAACACTGTTTTTAACCACCTAAAATAATAAATATTGTGCGTAAAAATAATATGATGTATAAAAATTAACTTACTAATCTGCCTACGTGGTTGTTGTGTAAATTGATGTGCGAAAATATGTCTGTGCCGGTTATTCTTTTATCTAAGAAAAGTTTTGCAAATTTCATCCCAAATTGGAGATTATCCGAACAACCTTTCCATTTAAATTTTTTGTTGCTGTTTGGTTTTGGATCGATTGAATCTAATTTTGCGTCACAACTACAACTAAGGAGATCGTTTTGTCGACATGCTTTTGATACAGCTATGACTACACCTGCTGAAGCTAAAGCGTTTATATATGCTGTTTCCTTATAACCTGAAAATAAATAAAATATATTTTATTAGGTAAATTACTAGGTTAATTTATATTTTTTTGTTTTTGTTGAACGTTTTTTTATATCATACATTTATTTTAGTATATCTATCCGCCCATTATGGTTATAATTTCTGGTACATTATCGATGAAAATTGCAACATCGAAAATTTTATCAAAACTTAAAATATTGTTATCTCAAAAACTAAAAGTTATTTTTCAAAACGGATCAGTTCATTGGAAAGAGGACACTTTTATTAATACTTTGCGCAATTTTCATACTCATATTCCAAGAAATGGAGTTTATACGAATTTTTAAAACTTAATCGGCGGAAATTGCAAAATTCAAAAAGTTTTTGGTCATTTCAAAAATTTATTTCTCAAGAACTGAAAGCGATTTTTCAAAACGGCTTTTTGTATTAAAAAGACAATACTTTAATTAATAATCGAAAGTGATAACAACGACAGTTTCTGAAGAAGGTTGCAACATGGCATCCGAAACGTCACACCTTTTATTAAAAGACGCACGGCAAAACCCGAAAGTTTCTAGTGTAAGTTCTAGTTTTAATTCTAATTTTAGTTTAATTCACACCGGCCGTGAAAGCCTTCGTACTTATATTATTAACCTTTATGGGGAGGATATCAACAAACAAATGAAGGATTTGGATAACTCACGAATTAGACAATGCAAGCTGTTGAGCAGTTTGGCCTTTCTACGAAGATGCAGAGAGAAGAAAGTAACGCCAACCTTCTTGAAGGTGAAGCAGAAGACTCCGCTGCAGCACGTAGAATTTTGATTAGGACAGAACAAGCACTGCTACGAGAAAGAATCCACAAGACCTTCAATGATCTACAAAAAATAAGTGAGAAGTTACTACGACTCCACCTCTCACTTTCCAATTGTATATCCGGAGAAGACTGGGACAAAGTGGACAGACTAACAATGGAGAAGGCTAATCGCGAATTTCAGAAGACCCGTGACACACACATCAAGAAGTTTGAATCTCTGGAACGCCGGTCGCAAAAGAAGAAAGGTAATAGTTTACCAGTAGAAACAATCGTCATTAACAGATCGAATGTCCCACTAACGAAAGACGAAACCTCTGTGCTCGCCAAAGGATTGAACTACGCAATCGCCCCGAAGAAGGTCCCAAAGGAGGAAATCATCTGCGAAGTGGAAGCAGCTGTTCGAGGGATGCCTGCACTGAAAGCCGAAGAGATCCGACAAGAAGTTGCGAGAGTATTGAAGTCAGCAAAACCACCAAAATCCAACTTGACGGTTGGTGAAAAGAAGGCACTCCGATCTATAAAAGAAAAATCAGAAATCGTCGTGTTACCAGCAGACACGGGGAATGCCACCGTTGTTATGGACAGGAAAGAATACGACGACAAAATGATGAACTTACTGGACCCAGCCACCTACAGGAAGATCAAGAAGGACCCCACAGACAAAATCGTTAGAAAAATGAAGGAACTGATAAAATCCACAGGAATTCCAGCAGAA